TCGGTGTCCCTGGAATTTCCAGAAGGAGCATTGGATTTGAGGTTGGAAGATCAGGCTTCAAATCCCAACTTTACAGCAGTCTGTCCTCTTGCAAACCCTTCCCCTCCCACTCGGAAACTTAATTGCCTCATCTGTAAAATGGGACCAATAACGTAAGGGTTTCACGTTCCTTTTGGAAGGATCAGGATGCAGAAGAATTAGGTTAATTCAGTGAAAAAGCTGCTTAGCTTCCAGGGCTGTTGTAAGGCAATGACATGGATAGCTGAGAAATGTAAAGTTTGTGAGCGATGTCCAACTGTGGGAGAGGCTCGGGAAGGGCCTGGTGAGTCTGGAATTGGCTGGGGGACTGACAGTTGCAGGTGAGCATTACCTGGCTGACTTCACCTCCTGGAAGGCATGTGGTCAGGGAAGGGGCACCGCAGCCACGTTCTGTCATAGCCTCTGACTGGACCATACGAGGTTGCAGGGCCAGCAGCTGCCTGGAGATGAGGGCCAGGAAGGATCCCTGTTAAATAATTGCTTTACTCTTATAGGCTTCCTACACACGCCTTAGCACATAAACTCCTCCCTTTACAAAGTGAAGTTGTTTGTCCTTTTCCCATTTTTACTGATGAGGGAACTGAGGCTCGGAAAGGGGAAGTAGCTTTCCCAAGGTTGCAGAATTGAAACTAGACCCAGGTCTCCTGACCTCCGGGCCTGAGATCCATCCCTCTCACTTGGTTCCCTGTTCCCTGTAACCAACACTAAGCTCTTTACAGATGGGGTCCCACTGAGGTGGCCATAGAGGATCCCCAGGAACAGCGAGTTTGGGATTCAATAGCACAGAGATAAACCAAACATTTTACTGAGTTTCAGACTCTTTAGAACTGGAAGAACCCTTGGAAACCTTCTAGTCCCAAATCCTCCTTTTTCAATAATAAAACAGAGGCCCAGAGAGGAACAAGGACTTGGCCAAGGTCACACAGCACTCTAGCATCGATATGGAGATTGTAACTCAGTTCTTGACTCTTAGTCCAGTGTCCTTCCCCTTTGTCCCCTGGCCTCAAGCAGACACCTTCAGATGGAGGCACCATGATGCCAGGAAAGGCACTGAGCACCAGCACTTCTGGTTAGTTTAGTGCTACGTGGACTGAGGTCCTGCCTTGTGCCAGGTGCATGGGTAAAGCTGAACCTGCAATCTAGAAAAGCATAGGGGGTCACTCCTGTCACTAGGAAGAGCCCTCTCCTCACCCTACTGACCTGGGCCAACCCAGACCTAGTAGGGACCTCAGCTGCACGGAAGTAGGCAAGGGGCAGGAAGTCAGCTGGGGCTGGGGACCCACCTGGCACAGGTGTCCCCTGCCAGAAAGGGAGGGCCAGAGGACAGGCTCTAATCCATCCTGCCATTTAAAAGATGGGAAAACTGAGAACCTGAGAGAGGAAGAGTGATGCTCATGACTGATTTAGGACATGAATCCAAGTCTCTTGGTCCCCAGTCCCAGGCTCTTACTACAATGAACAAAGCTGCTGCTGCTGCTGCTGCTATGAAAAATAACTCCCCAAACATCAGCTATAAAATGATTTTGAGGTCATGACACCTCTTCTCCTCCCCTAGTGTGGAACACAGAGTGGCCACCTGACATATTGATCTAGAGCAGTGATTCTCAACCCTGGCTACACACTAAAATCATCAGAGAAGCCTTAAAGTTTGCAGTGCCTGGTCTCCAGCCCTGGAAGCTTGGAGTTCATTGGTCTGGGGTGGAACCAGGGCCTTCGTATATTTTCAAGACTCTCAGTCAGGCCTAAGAACCACCTGGTAAGATGATTTTGACTGCATGTGACAGAAAATCCAGCTGACATTGGCTTAAACCGTAATGATCTTCAGTCTTTAGCTAACAAGTAGGCTAGGGTGCACAGACCCAGCATTGGTTCCACAGCCCAACAATACATACAATGGAGGACCCAGGAGACCTGTCAATCATTTGGTCAAACTCACTGTATCAACCTACCAGTCACTCTGTCCCCCTCATGGTCACTTCTCCAAGCATCAAGTCCTTTAAGCACAAAGCAGGGGTTGGGGCAAGGAGTCATTTTCTTCATTACTCCCTCTTTTATTAGGGAGGAAAGTCCTTCCTAGGAGTGCTGAGCTTCTGTTATATCTCTTTGGATAAAACTAGGCTGCATGCCCACCCCTAAACCAGTCACCAGCCAAGGGGGCAGAACTGTCCCACCTGGCTTGGAAAAATCATGATTCATCCATGGAACAGGGTACATTGTTTCCTGGACAGAGCCAGGTTCTGCTGTCAGGGAAGATGGGGGAAATGGCTTTTGGTAAGGCCACCAACAGGATCTGCCATACCCTAATAATGGATACATTCAGCCAACTGTGCAGCAAACTTTACCATCTTCCCATTAGGCAGTGGCCTGGGAAAGAGGATCCAGGGTCAAGTGCACACATGAACTAATGACCACAGCCCAGAAGGAGAAGTTCTGAAGGACCAGGGTAGGCTTCCCAGAAGAGGGGCACTTGCTGTGGGCCTTAAAACATGAGAGGGATCTAGCCTGGTCAGTCTCCAAGGCGGTGGTTCCCAGTCACTTGGGGGCCTCTTCAAATAAGCGCGATACCCGGGCCACACTCCCATTCTGACTTAATTGGTCTAAGATAGGGTCTGAGCACTGATACTTTCTAAAACTTATTTTATATGTTTTTAAAATAGATATGTTATTGCAGTATAATGTACTCACACAGCAGTACTCAAACCATAAGAGAACAGCCCCAGGGATTCTTACGAAGGTAACCACACCATGTAACCACCCAGATGGAGAAACACTGCACAATTAGCTCCTCAGAAGCCTCCAGCATGCCCCTTCCACTTAGCAGCCCCCCAAAGCTAACCACTTTTCTGACTTCTATCACCATAGGGTTTTTTTTCATCTGTTCTTAAACTTTATATAAATTGAATCACATACATACAAGCGTTCTTCAAAAAGCTCATGGGAAAATGAAATTAAAAGAGAATACGAGTCTTCCATGAACTTTTTGAAGTACCCCTAGAATCTTCTTTTCTTTGTCTGGTGTGTTAGGCTCAACAGAGCTTGAGAGACTCATCCGTGTTGTGGGTAGCAGTGGTTTATTTTCATGGGTGCACACTGTCACCTGAATATATCACAATGTGTTAACCCATTCAAATGTGGATAGACATTATGAATAGTGTTGCTATAAATATTCCTGACCTTGTCTTTTGGAGAACACATGTACATAATTCTTTGGGGCATATAGCTAAAAGGGGAGTTTTTAGGTCATAGGACATGTGCATGTTCACCTTTAGCAAATACTATCAATTTTCCAAAGTGGTTTTACCATTTCACCCTCCTACCAATGCAGGGGAGAGTTGTGGTTACTCCGTATCTTCACCAACACTTGGTATTTTCCATCCTTTTCATTAGAGTCATTCTGGTGGGAGTTCAAGGTACTTAGAATAGTTCATGGAAAGATTTGCATTATCTTTCAATTCTATCTTGCCATGAACTTTTTGAAGTATTCTCATATGGTGGTATTGCACTGGGGTTTTAATTTGAATCTCCCCAAATACTAATGGAGTTGAGCCCCTTTACTTTTCATTATCACCACTTGGATACTCTCTGTGTGAAGTGCCTCGTCTTTTAGGTATCAGTGAACTAGAGCCACAGAACGCCACATAAAAAAGCACCCCAAGTGAGCATTTATTCTCATGCTCTGGATCTGCAGGCCAACTGCAGACTGGCAGATGTGAGCCAGCCCAGGCTGGGCACTCAGCTTAGGCTGCAGGCCCTGCTGGGCAAGGCTGCTCTGGGCAGGTTGGGCTCAGGGTGCCCTGGGTGGTCTCCAGTGGGGACTCTTGTCTTGATGATGGCAGAAGAGCAAGACCACAGGCGCTTGTCACTTGTCTGCTTGCTTCCTGTCCCCCAACACTCACTGGCCAGAGCAAGACACATGGACTGGGGTCCAATACAAATGGGAAAGGGAGGGGAGTGAGTATTTGCTGAACAAACCATAGTGTAGCACTGGTATTTGGGGTATTTTTCAAAGACTTCATGTGATTCTAATGTTCAGCCTGGGCTCAGAACCATTGACCTACAGTCACCCCGCAAGTCAGCCAGTCAAAACAAAAGTCAGGATTAGTTGATTTTACTTTGTTTCCTGAAAGCAGTTAACCTAACTGAAGTCCTTTTCTCTTGAAAGCATTTTACTTTAGAAGAGAGTCCCTGGAATTAACATGGAAAATTATTTTAATAATTGATTTTGACTAGATCTCTGGTAGAGGGCCCATGTCAGATTCATTTCTAGTATTCTCAGTCCTACCAGAGTGCAAAGAAATGGAGAAATGCCAGGACAGGATGTTGTTGCTAGTTGGAAGGAAGGAATATATGCACTGCTGTGTAAGCTCCACGAGGGCAGGGATTTTTGTCTGTTGGGATCATTGTTGCATCCCGCATGCTTAGAAGAGTGTGTGACACAGAGCAGGTGCTCAATAAATAATCTTTCAGTTAATGTATGCATGCATACGTGTATACATAGGATGTCTGGAATGGAAAAATGAGTGGTAGATGGGTGGATGGTTAGATAGACATGGATGGGAAGACAGATGGATAAATGGGTAGGTGGGTGAACAGATAGATAGGAGGATGGATGGATGGATGGATGATTGGGAGGTTGGATAGACAGATGAATAGTGATGGATGGCAGGGTAGATAGATAAACGGTTGGGTGGGTTAACAGATGAATAGGACTATGGACTGATGGGTGGGTGGGTGGATGGGTGATTTGATGGATGGGTGGTCAGGTGGATCACACGGCCTAATGAATGAGTAAAAAATGAACGTGTGAGTGCCAAAAGAATGCACAGCCTTCCCTGTGGGTAAACATAGCTGTCCTGCAAAACTGTTAGTGACCAGGATGGTTTTGTTCTCCTCACAGGGTTTTCTGATTTTCTGTTTCCTCCTTCCCACTTCGGTGTCTCTTCTGGAGGCTGGGGTGAGAGGTGGAAGAGGATGGCCACGGAGATCAGTGCTCGGGCCAGACAGCGTGCCATCGGGCACGAGGAGTACAGTCTGTACAGCAGCCTGAGTGAGGACGAGCTGGTGCAGATGGCTATTGAGCAGAGCCTGGCGGACAAGACGCGGGGCCCAGCCTCTGCCGAGGCTGCTGCGTCTGCACGTGTCAACCGCGAACCTGCCCATTTCTACCCGTGGACCAGGTGAGCGAGGCAAGGCTGATGCAGGAAGAAGGGCCATGGGGCAACCATCAGGAGCACATCCCAGATGCTGTTAATCCCAAACCAAATTATCCTGGTCCTTAGGATGCCTTTTAACACCTTGATCATTTACATTTGTTGTGTAAACTTACTGAATGCTGACAGTCTCTAGTATTGTAGTAGGTGCCATCCACTCTTCGCCTCGTTTAATCCTCTTAAGGTCCCTCTTGGTGGGCTCTATGTGATGGTCCCATTTTACAGATGAGGAAACTGAACCTCAGGGCTGAGTAACTGGCCTGAGGTCACACAACTAGTAGGTGGTGTTGCAGAGATTGGAACGGTCTGGCTCCAAAGCCCGTGCCCTGGTCTTGTACCCATGGCTTAGGGCTTGGGTGCAGTGGAACTGCTGTTCTGAGTCTGGCCAGCACTTCCAACCCTATCTATGTAGTCTCCCTGGAAAAACATGTTCAGGAAGCAAAGGACGCCTGCCCAGCAAAGCCATCCTGCCTTCTCATCAGGCTCCCTTGTCTCAGCACCACCTCGTCATCCCAGCCACAGGACTTTCTAGGAGTGGCGCCATCCAATAAAACATGACACAAGACACAATAGATGCAATTTTAAATATTCTGATAGTTACATTAGAAAAGGAAAGAGAAATGGGGGAAGTTAATTTTCATATATATTTAATGTCCAAAATATCATATTTCCATATCATCAGTATAAAAAATATGAATGAGAATTTTACTTCATTTTTTCTATCAAGTTTTCGAAATCTAGTGTGTATTCTACACTCATAGCACATCTCAATTCAGACCAGCCACATTTCAAGGGCTCACTAGCCACATATGGCCAATGGCTACCATATTGGACAGCACAGATGTACAGGACACCTTCAATGTAGGAGGTGGGAGCCAGAGAGGTAATTAAGCATTTGACCTTAAAATGCTGTTAGAAAAGAAATACATAAACTATAAAAATGCTATTGCTCACCCCTGAGCCAAGGTCAAGTGTGTATTTGGAGGTGGGTGACAGGGGGATGGGACTTGCTGTTACAATTCTGTTGGTGTATTCGTCCATTTCTATTGCTTATAACAAAATACATGGAACTGAGTAATTTATAAGACAGTGAAACTTATTGCTTACAGTTTCTGAGGCTGGGAAGTCCAAAGTCCATCTGGTGGTGGCGACAGTGACCCAGGGGTCTCATATTGCAGAGAGAGCCAGAGGGAGACTCTCCTCTTCCTTTAAAGCCCTCAGAACCACGCCACTGACCACCATTATTAATCCATTTACTACAACACAGTCATACAATCCAATCACCTCTTCAAGGTTCCGCCTTTCAATGACCATAATAGGATTTCCCACCCTCTTAACAGTCACACTGGAGGCCAAGCTTATATTACATAAAACTTGCAGGACACAGTTCATGCTCCAGTGAGTTTTTGGGGAACACAATTCAATCCAGTGCAGTTGGTGTTACCTTGGGGTATGGGCCTCAAATCTCATTGTCTCCAAGAGCCAGCTGACTCCCTGTCTGTCCTTGCACAAGAAACCTAACCTCTCAGAACCTCAGCTTCCTCTCTAATGACAACAGCAATAATGTGCAGTCACAGCTGACAGGGAACGAAGGCAGGTGATGGTGCATCTCAGCTCTGTCCGTCAATGAAACCTATACTAGGATTCTCCCCCAAGTGACTTTGGCTTTGCCCACTAGCTGACTTCTGGCAGGCTGGCAGGGCAAAGGCCTGGGACACTCAGAGCCAAGAAGCCCCCTCTTTAGAGGAAGGCAGGCAGCTTCTTTGGTCCGGAAGGCATGCAAAGACTTCAAGTTTCTGAGCTGTACCCTGTGGGTGTCTTATTCTGGGTCCCGATCTGAACAACAGAAACCGAGAGCCGAGGACTTAGCTCATCTTTGGTGCTCAAGAAGATTCTGGTTCCTGTTCTGGCCAGTTCATCTGAAGGCAAACCACAGGTTCCTCTTTCTCAAGGAAGGATTAGATAGAGATGGAGCATCCTCCCTCCGAGGACAGGGCCTGCCATACAAAGTGGACACATCCCCCAGACATCTGCAGCCTCTGCCCAGCGCGGGAGCCTCTCCCCAGCGTCCCAGGATGCTCAGAAACATGAGAACTGAGTGGGCCCGGGAGCTCCAGCCCCTGGGAAAAAGCTCTCACAGAGAAGTGAAATCATGTATCATCTACGATCCGGCACAAAGACTGCAGTGGAGGAGGGTCAGCCTGCATTTCTCACTCCTGGTAGGATCCGAAACCTCCTAGGTTCCATTCTTCCCCTTGTCTCTGGGTGGAGGCTGGGCTTGGGTCCTGCTGGGGGAGAAAAGCCCTTTAATAAGATGTTTAAGCAATTCTCCTCCTCTCCGCAAAGGCACATTGGGCACCTCCTATGTGGCCAACACACTGATTAACTTCATGTTTACAAAAGCCATGCAAGGTGGACGTTTCTGTGCCCATTTGTCAGATGACAAAACACACACACAGCAGGGCCAGGAAATGAACCAGAGTCTGCATCACTCTGAAGTTCAGACACTTACCCAGGCTCTGCTGATTCTGCAAAGGCCTCCTTCTGTTTCCTCCCCCTCCCCCACCTGGAAGTGGGGTTTGGCTTCATGTCATCCGCATCCCACCCACGAAGGTTCGAGGTCCCCAAAGACACATGCCACACACGCGCTCGTGTTCACACACCCAGACACAGCATGGGAATGAGTGTGGAACCTAAGAGAGTCCTTGTTTACTTTTACCCTGGACATCACGGTTTCCATCCAAATATATCCAGGGCAGGTTTAGGAACAGGACGTCACACATGTCCTCAGGGGCTCCACGTGGCTGGCTCCTTCTCACCCTTCAGCTCTCAGAGTAAATGTCACCTCCTCAGTTAAGTCCTGCCCTGACCACCCTCCCAAGTCAAGTAGTTCCCCCCAGCCCCCTACTCACTCCCTTGGCTATATCCCTCATAGCCCTCACTATAACACACATTTTTATTTATTCATCTGTTTCTGCCATTAATCTGCAAACTCTTTGAGGGCAGTGGCCTCCCCTGCACCTTCCTTCCTGTGAAGCCCCATGCCTGACCCATGGCAAGCACCACATAGCTATCAGTGCGCGAGTGAATGGCTGAATAAAGGAATGAATAAAGGGGCGGCAGAGGAGAAAGAGAAGGGGGTTTGGAGATTCAAATCATTCTTCGTCACTTACTGGCTGTGCAACTTTAGGCAAGCTCTTACCCTTTCTGAGCGCCAATGGCCTTATCCCTAAAATGGCAATAACAAAATCTTGCTTTGCTCACCTTGCAGTATTCTTATGAAAAACAAGTAAGATGAGACAGGTGTGGAGCCTTCCCCACATCCCGCACCTTGAATTGACCTCCCCACCTGTCTGAGCACCCAAGCACCAACCTCGTGACTGCCTCTGCTTCATAGACAAGCTTCCGTGTCACACTAGGAAGGCCTCCTGGGGGTTTCCCAACTACACTGTGACCTCCTTGGGGACAGGGAGCAGATATTGTTCATTTTTCTATGCTCAGTGCCTAGCTAAGAGCCTGCATTTCTATAGGTGTCTGATGGATGTTTTTAGTCAAATAAATGCACTTTGACACCAATAAAATACTTAGGAATATAATTTATCTTTAATATCCTGTGACCAAAATGGCAATCAACTGAGTCTTTGGGATCCTAGAAAGAAGAGTCAGGTCAGAATCTCAAAGAAAATATAATATTCCTTTTCAAAGCCATTCTCCAATTGCTTCTCCCCCATCACAACGTTTAAGGGACAAAATTTGAAACATGCACGAGGATCATTTGCCAAGTCTTGGCCCACTGAGGGCTCTCCAAGAGGCAGACATAGCTTCCCGTCCCATGGAGACGTAGGGTCCATCACCGATGAAGCAGGAGTCTGAGGCTATCACAGATGGACCAGCCAGAGTGGGTCCAGGAAGACGGATCTTCACAGTCTTTAAACTTCTGCATTTTATTGAAGGTTACATTTCTAGGAAGGCAAAGGAGGAAAACATGAAGCAGGAACTTGCCTGGGCTCATGTATGCACAGCTGCAAACAATTCAAATCAAGTTACCCACACTTACTGTGAGCTTATGATAGGCCAGGTGCCTTCCTGGCAAGGGATGTAAATCAGACCCAACCCAGGCCCCGCCCTTCCTAAGCTCACAGTCTAACGTGGGTAAAGGCCCAGAGGTACATGATGACCCAGCACAGGGAGTGCAGTAAGGGGGCTTGGCCAATTTCAGACAGATATAGAAAGGGTCGATTCATTTAATCAAGGAGATGGGGCTTTGCAGGATGAATAGGAGTTTGTCAAGCAGGCTAGAGGAAGTAAACCTCTTTTGAGCCTCAGTTTTCTCATCTGCGAAGAAGCCAATTATGTGTCCTTCACCAAGTGGACTGGAGAGTGAAGCGAGAAGCTTTGTTCAGTGTGCCTATCACCAGGCTGGGAACATAACAAGGGCTCAGTGAAATCCCAGCTGCGGATGGGAAGACAGAGTCACAGCAGCCTGGAGTTCACTTTCTTCTCTACATGTGATTCCTCTCCAGTCAGCGCAGAAAGGACGGATTGGTCAGTGGAGAAGGGAGAAACAGAAAACCTCCTGGGTGGGAGGCTGGTTGCAGAGACCCTGCAGGAATGGGGGTGGGGTTTGGTTATATGATATAAGCTCCTCCTCTCTCTTCCCCAGGGGGCAGGGGCCTGGCTCTCTAGGAATTTGAGATCCTGGCACACAGATATACAACGCCGAGACGACCATATGTGATTTGACTCCTTCAGAGGCTTTTGTTTGTTTTGTTTTGTTTATTTATATTTATCAGGAGCCTACTGTGTGCCAGGCACTGTACTCTTGATACCTGTGCTTTATGTAGGTTGGCGTGAGGATCAGATGAGGGGACAGGCAGAGGATCCTGGCACAGTGGTAGGCATGCAGTGAATTCTTGGATTTGTTAGCTCCCTCCCCTGTTAAATGCCTGCTGGCCACCTGCCTTCACCCAGGCCCAGCCCAATTGCCCCTTTCCTGGGGCTGGCCTGGACTTCTTATGAGCTTAGATGGGGCAGCCATCCATTCCCCATTCCCACCAATCCTGACCCAGGTCTGAAGCCAGGGCCTGCTGGACTCCAGGATTGGGACACTGGAGTTAGGTGAGACACTCCCCACGCCCAAACCTGACCTCTGACATGCAAAGGACATGGGGCCTCCTGGGCCTCTTCTGGGACATGACCTGCACCCACATCCTCCCCACCTCCCCCCACAAGCCAGGTTCCTTTCACCTCCGATGACTCAGCCAGCCGGTTGGCTCTGCTGGGAAATCCCCTGCTCTGGGCCTGAGGGGAAGAGGAGCCTCCAGCCTTGATCGGAAAGAGCACAAAACCCAGCCACCCAGCTCTGAAACTCACAGCTCAGTAACTCCGAGCAGTCGTCCTGCCTGGTCGACCCCCAAACTGAGTTAATGCACCATGACTTTAGAGCTCTCAGAACAAGCCCTCCTGCCTCCATTTCAGCTGCTCCCCTGTGGCTCAGTGGTTGTGTGTGCCTGCTGGCCTCTAGAGGATCCACAGAAAGATACGTCTTATTGATCAGCATCCCCAGCCCCTAGAATAAGGCTTGGGTCCGAGGTGGAGCTGGGAAGTCTTTGTCGAATGGAACTCAGTCTGTTTCCTCATCTGCAAAATGGGAGCAATAGACACCCTGCCTTCCTTGAAAGTGGTGGGAAGATGGGAATGTGGTGATGCTTGGAATGGCTTCAAGGATATTTGGCCTGCATGATTGTGAGGAATGTCATTGTCACCATCTCACTGCTCCATCAGCCTCAGTGTCCCCACCACCGTTGCTGCTGTCGGTATTATGCAAAGACAGGTCCTAGTTTGGGGATGGCATGGTAGGCTTTTACCAGTGCTTATCATCTTGCTAAAAACATTGTAACAACTGTAAGTGGTCAATGGCCACACACAGATCAAGGATGCGGGCGGCTGAGAGCTGAGGATCACGTGCAGACAGGAGCCCAGGGCTTCGTCAGGACTGCAGGGCTGGTGACTGCAGAGGCAGGCCTGGCCCGGGCTGCCTTCTACCTGCCACACACTCCCCTTCTCAGGGCAGGAGGGAGCGCAGAGAATGCTGGAGCCAGTTGCTTGCAGGGCCAGTGGAGAGCAGCTCGCTGGACCTAGCTTTGCACGCCCCTCCCTGGGTAGGCAGCTCCTGGATCTGTTTGACACAGTGAGATTCTCCACAGCTAGAAAAGCACGGAGGAAACCCCTGGCCTGGTCCTGCCTCCCTGTTTTGCAAATGAGCAATCTGAGGCACAAAGAGAGGGAAAGGGCTTGTTCAAAGTCACAGGGCTGTCAGTGTGGAGGCCGTAGAGCCAGGGGACGGGGGAAAGGCAGAAGGAGACTAGGCCTCTGCAGGAGGAGCGGTGGTAGCAGCTCTGACAGACAGATGCAAGCCTCTGCTCTGCTCACTTGCCGGCTGTCAGGTGTCACCCCTCTGTCACTGCCTGTTCCTCCTCTCCACTGTGCTCTGGCCTTGCTCAGGTGTCCATAGAATCTATAGGTCTAGCCTGGCCCACAGGGAGCCAGTCACCAGTAGCAATGTCCTCCCCGATCCTGCAGACAGTGTCCCCAGAGGTGTGACAAGAGACAAGGCTGGGCCTACTGGGGTGTCCAGGGGCCAGGGCCTGACATGCTGGGAGTGGGGCCAGTAGGGGCCACCTATTCCATTCTCTCACAACCCCAGGCTAAATCCAGGCTCATAGAGCAGCTGCCACACCTCCTTTTACCCTTTCCACCATCCCATCAGCCTGATGGGGTGGGGAAACTGAGGCTCCGAGAGGTGAAATAGTGATAAAATTAATGGTTGACGTGTGTCAGCACCCCTCTGTGCCTGGCACTCCACTGAGCACCCCACACCATTCGCTCATTCGGGCCTCACCAACTCTCCAGCCAGAGGCTATTCTCATGCCACCTTACAGGTGGGGGCACTGAGGCACAGAGGAGGTCACCTGTCCCAGATCACATATTCAAGCAGCGCTAGAGCCTGGACTTGAACCTGAGCCTGTCTGACTCCAAGCCCCAGCCCCCATGACCTTCCGTGTGCATCCTTTCGCTGGAACCTCCACACTGGTTTGTTCCCAACCCCAGGGCAGGACCCTCTAAGGAGGAACCAGCCCCTCTAAGGATGTGGCAGTGGGGGGCGTGGACCTGGCTCAGCTTCCCGGCTTTTCTCCCTATGAATCACCTGTCCAGCCCTGTTGGGACCCACCTGTCCAGCCCCATTGTGATCTGCCTGTCCAGCCCTGAGACTGAGCCCCTTTCATCCTGGGACCTGCTGTGACCACATCTCACAACCTCCTGGGTGAAGAATGTCACCTTGCTTCCTATCTGCCTCCCTTGTGGTTGGCTGGGGAGGGGGACCGCAGGGTAGGGGTGAGGTTAACCTCATTGTTGTCTTATATGGTCATTTAAATCTCCCAGGGCTTCCTCCAAGGGCCAAAAATAATCCAGAGATACAGCAGCTGTGTCCAGCACACAGAGAGGACCCGGCCATCTGCTTTGGTTCAGAGCCCTGTGTCTGTCTGTCAGTCAGTCGCTCTCTCCCCTGGCTCTCCTTCCATCCACGGTCCTGCCTCCAGCCATGACCCGCTTCTCATATGCAGAGTATTTTTCCCTCTTTCACTCCTGCTCTGCGCCCTCCAGGTCCGCTGCACCTCCCGAGAGCTCACCGGCCCCGGGCCCCATGGGCTTGTTCCAAGGCGTGATGCAGAAATACAAGACCTCCCAGCTGGCGTAAGTGACCCCCACACGGCCTCCAAGAGCATCCGAGCTCACTCCCCGACGGGGGTGGCAGGGAGGGCTGGGGGTGGAAGTAGGCCGGCAGTCCCCAGGAAGGCAGGAGCACTCTGGAAGCACCTCCCAGACAAACCCCTCTTAGAAGTGTCCTCCTGAGACCCGGCTGCTCCTGCTGAGCTGGGCTTGGTGGCCACAGTCGCCAGTCCTCAAGGAACTGCCAGCCAGGCTGTGCTTGTGATTGACTGTCAGATGCCCTCAGCATGGGACCTGTGTGCTGAAGGAGCCCTGTGGGGCTCTGAATCCGGGGTCCCAGCAAAAGGGAGATTGGGGAGGCCACCTTAGAACCCCTAAGACCCAGAGGAGCTTGGAACTGAAGCTGTGCTCGGCTGCACCTCCTGTCTGTCCCCATCTCACTTTCCTCCATGTCACCACTGTGGGTATATTTCAGCACATCCCAAACACCCACACCCACAGCTTTCATCTTGCTTTGTTGTCTTTGTTAGATGCCAGGTGCCGTAAAACCCAGACATAGTCTGAGCTGCAGGAGGGGTTCTGTGTGGCTGGCACCAGGGTGCTGGGCTGTGGGATCTTTGGAAAATAGCTCTGTCCTTCTCCCTTCTCTGTACTCCATAGTGACCCTAGAAGCAGCTAAAAGCAAAAGAACAGCCCCAATGCTGGAACCCCTATTTCCTTGCTCAGTTTTGTTGCAGAGAGGGGAGGAGGCAATTAGCTGATGTCTTGATTCCCCTTCCCAGACTTTTTCAAATCCTGCCGCCTCCGCCCCCGACCTTCTCCCTGATTCCTTGATGCTACGAGTGGGGTTGACAGTCTGGAAAAGAGAGACCCCATTCTGGTCTCAGCTCACCTGCCCACTTCCTGTGTGACTGCCCGAGAGTCGCTGTGCCCTCTGAGTCTCCCTTCTCTGTAGGACTCAGTCGGAGAGGACAAAGTGGCCTCCAGGGTCCCATCCAGCTCATTAGTCTCTGATGGCCTGACACCCCCAGCAGCTTCCCCACCCTTGGGTGAGGACTTTGAGCCAGTTTGTGGGGCTGAGAGCTCCAGGGTTCTTGCACCACAGCTGGAAAGACCCAAACTGGGTGGTGGGCGGGTCCTGAAAGTGTTCTCATGACACCACACCACACCTCCCTCACCAAGACTGCAAGAACAGCTGGCCCCAGCTCACTTCCACTTCAGCTGGGGTCCCACAGGAGACCGTCCAGTGGAAAGGGGACACATACCCTACTGGGGCTTTTCCTGATGCCGACAAGGGCTGCTCTGGCTGCTCCTAAGTGAAACTCGTCAAGGTGGCAGTGATGGTGTTGATGGGGACTTCAGCATTTATCTAGTCAGTTTCCCATCATCCTTGCTGGGTCCATAGCTTAACCAGCATCTGTGTTCTGATGCTATTAATAACCAGAGGGGCTGGGAGTCGGGAGGAAGTGCCGCTCATGCTGGAGGAAGCAGCCGGGAGGGTGCAGGGCTGATGCTAGAGACCCTCAGAGCCAATCCGTGCCCCTGACGTGGTGGGGGTCCCTGGGAACAAGGCCTGCCTCCAGCCTCACCTTCTCCATCTGAGAAATGGGACTATTTATGTAGAACCCTCCCCAGAAATGGATCTGGGAGTCAAAGCAATTGTGGTCCTGACTCTCCAAGTATGGGGAAGGGAGCTCATGAATGAATGAATGAACAAATGAACAAAGTAACTTTAATGAGCCAAGCAAAGAAAATGTCCACATTAGCCCTGAAACCATTTTGATATTCAGAGGTTTTAAACTGTGAAGGCTTTGAATTGATTAATCCTTCAAGTGTTTGAGTTTCTCAGCAGCCAGATATCCTGGGAGTGAGGTTAAGGAACCGGAGCAAGGAGGGGAGTTGGAAGACCCCAGAGAGATACTCACTGTAACAAGGGGCCCCCTCTGAGGAGTCTGTGCCTTCCTCTCAGAGCAGCTCGAAGCTCAAACAGGCCCCTGAAGGTGGACATGCTTGGTAAACGCTGGAGCACTGTGCTCAGGGAAGGCATCTAAACATCGCGAAAAGCCCCAGTGGGGGTGGTTCTGCATCCCTTTGGAAGACGGCCCTGAATGCCTGACTCCTCTTGGTAGAAACAGTCTTGGTATAGCATTAGCTGCAGCCATGGAAAGCCACAGGGATAGAGGGGACCCCCAGTTGTCTTGCAGCCACTGAGTTGCATGGTGCTGAGCACCTGTCCCAGAACCAGCTGGGACAACCAGGACTTAGTGACCCCACAGCTGGCACTGGCTCTTGGCCACCTACAGGCCCTGCTTTTCTTCTGGGAGAGAGGCCACTTGGCCCTGCCTGAGCACTGACCTGCTTCTTGCTGTCGCAGGGCCGTGGACCCCCTGCTAAAGGCCATCAAGGAGGGCGATGAAGAGGCCTTGAAGGCCATGATCAAGGAAGGGAAGAATCTCACAGAGCCCAACAAGGAGGGCTGGCTGCCCCTGCACGAGGCGGCCTACTACGGCCAGCTGGGCTGCCTGAAGGTCCTACAGCGAGGTGAGGGGCAGGCCCGGTGTGGCCGCAAGTGGGAGAGCGGCTGGGGGAAGGGCTCCTTTCTTCTGGAAATTTGTGTTCTTTGCCCCACAACTAGCTTATTGACAACGGCAGGCAAGGTTATGACCCCTGTTTGGCAGTTAAAGTCACTAAGTTGTGAAGGGAAAGTGATTTGTTCCCATCCCAACACACACCCCCTGCTGCCACCTCTCCAGGCCTCCCAGGACGGGAGAACCTAATTCCTAGAAAAGGGATGAGTGAGGGCTGACTTTGGGAGAGCCACTGCCAGCTGTCCCAGAATGTTCCAGGGACCGATGTGGTGTGGAAAATACTGCAGCTGTGCCTGTGCCCTGCCATGGCTGTCACACACCAGCTGTGGGCCAGTCATGCCTCCTGTCTGAGCCCCATCATCCTCCTGAGCCAGGTTCAGATGAGTAACCTGCAAGCAGGTGTCACCTTTGCCCTCAAGTGTCACAGACCCCAAATAGTCCACCACACTCCAAGAAACAGCTGCATGAAATATTGAGTTTCCAGCAGTGGCTGGTGGGAGTGCAAGGATTCTGAGTGCAAGCGTTCAGGGTGGTGGGGAGGGGGCTCAACCAAGGAAGGCTTCCCAGAGGAGGTGGCAGCTGAGCTGTACTTGTATGATCAGGAAACTAAAATAGCCCCATGAAAGGGCAAGATGATGGCAGTCTGTGGTTGGTAAATTTCAGAGGCTGTCATACACATCTGTCCTTGGAATTGGGAGGATATCGGGAACATCTCTGTATTGTGGGGCCAGGTATCTTTCTCCTTCATGAATTTCCTGGTTGGTCCTCCCCAGCATACCCAGGTACCATTGACCAGCGCACCCTGCAGGAGGAAACAGCTCTTTACCTGGCGACATGCAGAGAACACCTGGATTGCCTCCTCTCACTGCTCCAGGCTGGGGCAGAGCCTGATATCTCCAACAAGTCCCGAGAGACGCCCCTCTACAAAGGTGCGTCCTCCCAGGGTGGGCTTCCCCGAGCAAGAGTCCAGAAGCTAGATGGGCAACCAGAGAACGTTGCTCCCGTAAATGCATAACCCCCCAAGTGGTCTACTTTGCAGGGGGCAGGCTTCACTTGGATGCATGATTTGTGTATTTGAATCATTCACACCTGCATGTATTCAGCCAACATTTCCCAAGAACTGCCCATGGGCCAGGTGCTTAGGGACACTGAGGGCTTAAAGATGAAAAGACAGGGCCCATGCCTGTGTGCTTCACCAGTCCAGTGGGCACCGACACACAGACAACAGCAATGAAGAGCTTGGCAGGAGGCCTTGTGGGAGCGTGTTGGAGGGGCACCCAGATGAGGGGGTGTCTGAGCAGATCCTGAACAGGAGGAATTTACCAGCTGGCCCAGTAGGGGAACAGCATAGGGAAAGGCAAGGAAGTATGAGAGAGAGAGAGTGTGTGTGCCTCTGGGATGTTTGTTTAAGAAAAATAAAACCTCCTGGCTTACTCAGTATGTTATTCGAGGACATTCATTGGATGCCCTAGCAGTGCCCAGAGTCAAAATCTGAGTGCAAGCATTCAGGGTGGTGGGGAGGGGGCATTTATTGAGTGCTTACTATGTGCCAGGCACTGTTCTTTTAGTGAACCCTCATATCCATCTATGTATAAGGTAGGCACTGCCAGTATCCCCATTTGACAGATGAGGACCTAAGGCACAGAGATGGGAAGTGAGTTGCCCAGGATCACACAGCCAGCAAGGGGTAGACCTGCGATTTAAACTCAGGGAGCTGCCAGTTAGAATGGCTATTTTCAACAAGACAGAAAATAACAAATGCTGGCAAGACTGCAGAGAAAAGGGAACCTTCCTGCACTATTGGTGGGAATGTAGATTGGCACAGTCACTGTGGAAAACAGTGTGGAGTTTCCTCAGAGAACTAAAAATAGATCCACCTTATGACCCAGCCATCCCACTCCTGGGTGTGTACCCAAAGGAAATGGAATCAATATATCAAAAAGACACCTGCACTCCCGTGTTTATCACAGCACTATTCACAACAGCCAAGAGATGGAATCAAACTAAATGTCCATCAACGGATGAATGGGTAAAATAACTGTGGTGTATAACACAATGGAATACTATTCAGATATAAAAAGAAATGATATTGGGCCGGCCCGGTGGCGCACTGGAGAGTGCGCCGCTTGGGAGTGCAGCGGCGCTCCCGCCGAGGGTTCGGATCCCATGTGGAGACCGGTTCCCGCTCACTGGCTGAGCGCAGTGCGGGCGCAACACTGAGGGTTGCGATCCCGTTGCCGGTTCCCGGTGCAGGTGCTACACCGACAGTTGCGATCCCATTACCGGTCAGTAAAAAAGACAAAAAGACAAAAAAAAAAAATAATAAAGAAATGATATCCTATCATTTACAGCAACATGGATGGAACTGGAAACCATCATGTTAGAAGAAGTTAGTCAGGTGCAGAAAGACAAATACCACATGATCTCACTCATATGAGGAATCTAAAAAAAAAAAAAAAAGTGGATCCCTGGTTACCAGAGGCCAGGAGGGGAAGGGGGAGAGGGAGGGAAAACGGATAAACTAACAGGCACAAAACTATCCTATCTACACTAAGTGAATCATTGTGCAATACACGCATGTATCGAAACAACATAATGTACCCTACAAATATGTATAAGTAAATGTTAAAATTAAAAAAAAATTTCAGGCTGGCCCGGTGGCGCACTGGATAGTGCACCGCTTGGGAAGCGTGGCGGTGCTCCCGCCCGAGGGTTCGGATCCCACATACAGACCGGTTCCCGCTCACTGGCTGAGCGAGGCGCGGGAGCAGCGCCGAGGGTTGCAATCCCGTTGCCGGTCCCCAGTCCGGTGCGGGGGCGACACTGAGGGTTGCGATCCGTTGCCGGACACGGAAAAAGACAAAAGACAAAAAATAATAATAATAATAATAAAAAAATTTAATTCAGGGAGCCGGATGCCAACACCACACTCTGAACCACTACATCTAGTTCATGCCCATGTGCTTAAGCTGTCAGCTTGGGTCTTGCAAAAATGATAGGGCCTTTCTATTTTGAAAAACTTCAGATAGCCCTGATTTCCTGTGTGTCTGGTATCCAGCACCTGGAACATTCTACAGACAGCAAGAACTGGGTAGAAGGTAACTGGATCCCCTGCAAATCCAGGTGGAATTGTCTCCCATGGAACCTGTGCCTGCCCAGGTGCCCTAGCCATCACCTGAAGCCTCAGCTGTTCCAGAGAGAGTGCCCAGGAAGCTGGGCCCTGGTCCTGCCTGTGATCTTACTATGTGCCAAGCACCAAGCTAGTGCCTCACACGCACAGTCTCACTCGGTCCTCCCACAGCGCCCTCTCAGGAAGGTTTCATTTTCTTCATTTCACAGTGAGATGACCAAGGCTTAGGTGGAGAGCTTGGCCTGTGGTCCTGTTTGAAACACTATGCAGGCAACTCCCCTCCTCCTGTTCCCTGTCCCTACCCCCCCACCCATTCTCTACTCTCCCTCCCCCTGACACTGACACAGAGACGCTTCCAGGGGTGTCGGACAAGTGCCCAGGTGACTCTGACACCCCCTGTAGCTCCCTGGCGATAACTCCGGGCTAGAGCCAAGGCTGCATTTGGGGTCTAGCAAGAGATGAGGCTTAAAAGGGTGGTTAGAGCAGGTTGAGAAAGGTTTGAAAAGCTGTACTTAAAAGATAAATTTTACCCCAAGTTAAATAAGCAGCCTTTGGGAGTGGGGGTGAACAGGAATATGACACAGGTTACTCCTCAACTGGAAAGATTCTTCTAGCCTTGGTAATGTGGACTGAAGCAGGTAGTATTGGAAGGGACACTCTGGAACATTCCAGGGGACGGAGATTCTGGACATGACTACTGGGTTTGAATCCCAGTTCTACCATACAAGGTCTATGTGACCTTGGGTAAGTCACTTGTCCTCTCTGTGCCTCACCTTCCTCATCTGTGAAAGGGGATAACAATACTACAAACTTTAAGGGGAGTTGAGATGATTAAATTAGTTAATCAAGTAAAGTGCTTAGAACAGAGTGCCTGGCACAGAACCAGTGCTATTCACATGTCAGCAAATATTATTACTCATATTAGTATTAGTATTACTTTTAGTCATAAACTCTAGGTTCAATGCAGGGTCTATAACTCAGGACAGACTCAATGAACATTTGTTGAATGGATGGCTGACGAATGAATGAGTGAACGGACAAGCAAATGAATGAAGGCTTGGATGGCCAGGTCTTGCCAGGGCCTTGGTCACCATTTTGCTTCTCCCTGGGCATAGCCTGCGAGCGCAAGAACGCGGAGGCAGTGAGGATTTTGGTGCAGTACAACGCAGACACCAACCACCGCTGCAACCGAGGCTGGACAGCTCTGCACGAATCTGTTTCTCGCAATGACCTGGAGGTCATGGAGATCCTGGTGAATGGAGGTGNATTACTCATATTAGTATTAGTATTACTTTTAGTCATAAACTCTAGGTTCAATGCAGGGTCTGTAACTCAGGACAGACTCAATGAACATTTGTTGAATGGATGGCTGACGAATGAATGAGTGAACATATTACTCATATTAGTATTAGTATTACTTTTAGTCATAAACTCTAGGTTCAATGCAGGGTCTATAACTCAGGACAGACTCAATGAACATTTGTTGAATGGATGGCTGACGAATGAATGAGTGAACGGACAAGCAAATGAATGAAGGCTTGGATGGCCAGGTCTTGCCAGGGCCTTGGTCACCATTTTGCTTCTCCCTGGGCATAGCCTGCGAGCGCAAGAACGCGGAGGCAGTGAGGATTTTGGTGCAGTACAACGCAGACACCAACCACCGCTGCAACCGAGGCTGGACAGCTCTGCACGAATCTGTTTCTCGCAATGACCTGGAGGTCATGGAGATCCTGGTGAATGGAGGTGCCAAGGTGGAATCGAAGAATGCCTATGGCATCACTCCCTTGTTTGTGGCCGCCCAGAGTGGGCAGCTGGAGGCCCTGAGGTTCCTAGCTAAGCATGGTGAGTGGCTAAGAGTCCCTGGGTCACAGTGTTCCCAAGGGCACAGATGGAAAGGACCTCAGAGGTCAGCTCTGAGGCAAGGCAAGTTCAAGTGTCATCTTGTGGACAAACTCTAATCAAGAGATAGTATCTTCCTGGAGTGCTGTGTTGAGAAGGATGCTGAGGCTGTGTCTAGGCTCAGTAAGGAGAGACCCACTAGTGATATCTTCAGTTAGGACCAAACGTGGGAAGTGTGGCTCATGGGCCACATATTTGCCATCTCTAATCTAGCCCAACATACTTGCTTTACAAATGAGGAGTCTGAGGCCCAGAAAGGAGAAGTGACTTATCCACAGTCGCATAGTAAATTACTTGTAGAACTAGGCAAACTCTCAGGTTCCTGACACCCCACCCTCTTCTCTTTCCACCACATCATGTTTCAGGGCCAGAAGGAAGCTTAGACAACATTTACATCACCTCCTCATTTTATAGGTGATGAAACCAAAGATCAGGATGGCAAAGTGATTTGTCTAAGGTCACACAGCAAATTAGTGGCAGAGCTGGGATTTGAACCCAGGTCTTTGCCCTCTTTACCCGTGAAAAATCTTAATGGGAGAAAATAAAACAATATTGCCTGCATTATGATGTCCCAGAAGTAAAAGACCCCAAGACAATGGGAGATGTTCTTTCAGTTAAAGAGCATTATGTTCTGATCTCCTCCAAGAATGCCTTTGATTTCTTTTCTCTCTCCGCGGGAAGTAACCCTCCCTCTCTAGCAACAGAGAGGCCAGATGTAAGACTCTGGGGTTGAACTGGACCAATTTGTTGAGGACCTGCTATGTGCAGATCCTAAGTGTGAACACAGATCAGGTCAACGGAGCTTTCCCATAGCCATATGAGGTAGGTTGTGTCCTCGACCCATTCTGTACATGAGGAGACTAAGGCTCAGAGAGGTTAAATCATTGGTCACAGTCAAAGCCTGCGAGAGTGACCAGCATGGGACCATGCCCAGATTAGCACCCGCGTACTCAGAACATGCCTGAGCAGTTGGGATAAACAGATGCAGACACTTTCTTGCAGCCAGGGACAAATCTGGACTGACCAGCGTGAGAACAAAGGGGCACAGACAGGGTCCTGGGAGCCCAAGGCAAGAGGCTGGGCAAAGGGCAGGCGCACAGCAGGCAAGGGCAAACCCGCCAGCTCCAAACATCTGCCCAGGTCTCCTGCCGACACTCTGAGTCAGGGTCTGTTCCCTTCGCTGGCCAAGTCCTTTTTTCAATCCAAATATTTTCCTTGTGTGAGCAGACAGCTTTGCTGGCGGGGTCCAGGCCTTCCGGGGAGGCTGACTTAGAGAGCTCGCAGCGTGTTAGAGCAGTTCGTCACTCTCCCCCAGGGGAGGAGGACAGAACCAGCCTCTGCCCATGTCCCTCGTCCTGGGCAGCTGGCATTTGCTGAGCACCTTCCCTGTGCCAGGCACTATGCCGAGAGATTTGCTTATATTATCTTGTTTACTCCCTGCAGTAACCCTGAGAGGGAGTAAGTACTATTACTTCTGGTTAACAGATGAGAAAACTGAGACTCCTAAAGACTGCCGGAGGCCACAGAGCTTGTATACCACGAAACAAACTTCAGCTCGTTCTTGTGTGTCATCAAAGCCTCTGCTCGTGCCACTAGAGCAGAAACTGGTCCCACCATCACTGGAAATAAAACATTACCAGAAAGGCTGAGACGCACAGAATGCTCAGAGAGAAGAGCTGTGGTTAACAGTTGCTTTGATTCCAGCCCTTACTGACATTTCACGGCTATCTCAGTTCCATTTCCTTCCAGAACAAGGGAGAACTGGTGGACCCTCTTTTTGCAGAGAATGCCATGTGCACATCAGTTCTCTCCATCACCCCTAGTAGATGCAGGAGGTGTAGGAGACTGGGCTTCAGGTGGACTGTCACCAAACTGGATTCCTCCTACTACCAGCATGGCTTAGTGTCTTTGGAGGAGGATACAGGAAGCAATTCCTCCCCTATTCATTGAGTGGAAGGAGGAGAAAAACAAATCCCAATTCATAAAGTTACTGGGGTTTCCCTTTACTAGGGGTTCTGTGCTCTCTTAGAGCTGGGAGGTCTATTTCAGGGCGTAGCTGAGCCCTTCTACGTGGAGGGAGGATTAAAAGCATGGCCTTTGCCATCAGACCATCTACCATGGGCTCTGCCATCAGACCATTCGGGTTCAAGTTTGGCTCTATGTTTATGAGCTGGGTGGTCTGGGGAAAGCTGCCTAGGTTCTCTGTGCTTCAGTGTCCTCGTCTGTAACATGGAGTACTGATCTCACAGTTTCCTTGTGGATTCAAAGAGCACAGGCATGGTGCCCGGCACACTGTAGGAGCTCAGTAAATGCCAGTATCATCATGGCTGCTTTTAGCTTCTAAGGGGCCTCTGCTCAGGCTGGCAGGCCCTTGGGTCTTGATGTTGCCCAAGGGAGCTGGGGATGGTCCAGGGAGGGCTCCTCCTTCCTGAGTGTCATTAAATAATCCAACACGTCACAGGTTAGCACAGCAGCGCCCAGTGTGTGGTGGGCGTGGGCCAAGGCAGTGACCTCCCTGATCATGCATTGATCTGCTTCTCCCTCACCAGGCGCTGACATCAACACACAGGCCAGCGACAGCGCGTCTGCCCTCTATGAGGCCTGCAAGAATGGGCACGAGGAGGTGGTGGAGTTTCTGCTGTCGCAGGGCGCCGACGCCAACAAGACCAACAAGGACGGGCTGCTTCCTCTGCACATCGCCTCCAAGAAGGGCAGCTACAGGTCAGCCCAGGCCCTGCCGCCGCCACCCCATGCTCCCGGGACCCACACTGGGATGGGGGCAGGGGAGGGGACGCCTGCTACAAATATCCCACCCATGGGATCCGGAAGGCCCAGGAGAGAGCAGAGGGGAGAGCATTTTTGGGTGGAAGAGAGGAAAACCTCTCAGCAGTTAGCAGCACAGAGGGCATGCCGATAGCGACAGCAACAATAATGATAGTGAACACTTACATGGCACTTCGTACTTTACATTATGAACTTATTTCATCCTTTTCACAACTCAGGGACGTGGATATTATTATCTTTGCAGAGCAGAGGGGAGAGCATTTTTGGGTGGAAGAGAGGAAAACCTCTCAGCAGTTAGCAGCACCGAGGGCATGCCGATAACGACAGCAACAATAATGATAGTGAACACTTACATGGCACTTCATTCTTTACATTATGAACTTATTTCAACCTTTTCACAACTCAGGGACGTGGATATTATTATCTTTGCTTTTCCGATGAGGAAGCTAAGACACAGAGAGGTTGAGTGACTCACCCAAGGTCACACAGCTCATAGGCGGCAGGAACTCACCTGCTCCAAATGTCCCATCTACAAGAACTCTACTCAGGGGGCCAGATATGAGTCTGAACTAATGAATATTTCTGGGGACGGGGGATGCAAAGGCAATATTCCAGGCAATTAGCCAGCATGCAGGGAATGCCGACAGTCATGCAAACAATACCAATGATAGTAGCTGGCGTGTATCACGCACTGGCTGTGTGCTGCCTACTTCGAGCAAGATGAGAGAAGCTGAAGTTCTCAATGAGCAATCACATGTGCACTCGTGCACACGCACACACACACACACGCACACAGACACAAGTTCACAACAGAATGAAAGAGCATGCAGGGCTAAGTTCCCAGCGTCCAGCCGAGAGAG